TTGCTGGAGATCCAGTTATGTTATAACAATATATATATTCTTTTAAGGGTTTCCTTTTACCTTTTTGTGATCCAATCTTAAAACACATCAAGATTTAAAATAATTAGCCAATCTTTTTTTTGTTCTATCATGATATTGGTGGCCGGACTTTTAAAAATATAAAATAAATTATAAGAAGAAAAAAAGAGCTAGGTTGTTCCCGGTTGGTATATATATATATATATATATATAAAACTAAGTCAAATTAATTTTTTAACTAATTATTATTTTAAAAAATAAGTAAAATTATCTAAAATACACTTTTAGCCTCTATCCCTCATCAAAATTTATATATGGAATTACGCTACTCTCGTTTAAAAATCAAAAAAAAAAAAATCAATCATATAAATTATAATAATATATTTTAAAAACTAAAACAATCAAGTTCTAAAATTTTATCTCAAAATCCATATATAAAAAATCAAATTTATTAACCAATAAAATTATATAAAATTAAAAAATTAATTCGATGAGAATTTTAATAAGAAACAAACAATTGAAGAAACAAATTTTAAATAATAAAAATAATATAATCGGATATATATGTTCAAACTAAAATTTTTTAAAATATTATATATAATCTATTATCGTAAAAATCTACGCAAAACTAACAAAAAAAAAACAATCTTTTTTATATTTTCACACTTAATTTCATGATAAAAAATATAAAAATAAATTATAAGAAGGAAAAAAAAAGAAGGCAAATTCTGGTTGGGACTACTTATGGAGGTCTCGCTGAGCCTCGCTTCTTAAGGCTAGCCCTATAAAAAAAAAAAAAAAAAACTACGATAGAAATGAGCCGGACCAGCCTACTAGAGCTCGCTTCACTAAGCCGACAATAAAAATAAATAAATAAATAAAATGCTACAAGTAAATGAACAGGGAAAACCCTAGTTCTTTTATTTTTTTTTAGAATAATTATAATATCCGAAACACACTTCTAGCTCTCTCTTTCTCATCGAATTTATATATGCAACAACATAATTTTCATTGAAAAATCATAAAAATATCATATAAATTATAATAATATATTTTAAAAAATAAAATAATCGGGTTTTAAAATTTTATTTCAAAAGCCATGTATAAAAAAATAAAATTTATTAACAAATCAAATCATATAAAATTTAAATATTAATTCGATGAGAATTTTAATAAGAAACAAACAATTAAAGAAATAAATTTTAAATAATAATAATAATATATATATATGTTCAAACTAAAATTTTTAAAAATATCATATATATTCTATTACTATCAAACTATACATAAAATAAAAAAATAACGATATATTTTATATTTTCACACCTAATTTCATGATAAAAATATAAAAAAAATTATTTATATAGAAGGAGAACAACTCGTTATCCGATATTTAAATAAATCATTTATTAATAAATATTATATTATTATACCAATATATTTAAAATAATATTTAACTAATACAATGTAATATTAAATTAATTATATGGTATAATTATCAAAAATATTATATTACTATAATACTTATCAATTTTTATATATATTCAAATTCGTAAAATAATATATGAATATATTATTTATATTATAATATAAAATAATAAAAAAATATTATATTGTATAATAAATACAATATTCACAATCAAAATACAAATAACTATTTTGTAATAATTATTTGATATTGTTTTTTGTAAAATATAATACTAATATATTGTCATTATTAACTATAAATAATTTTATTATTCAAACAAAATATATTTATAATAAATAAGGACCTAAATAATATATTTGATCATATAATAATAGTCCTACAAATATAGAAACTGTCAAAAAAAAAAAAAAGAGGCTAGACATTAGAAAAAAAAAGAAGGCAAAACAAAAAAGCACTCGCATAAATACAATATTCACAATCAAAATACAAATAATTATTTTATAATATTTTTTTTGATATTGTTTTTTTGTAAAATATAATGATAATGTATTATAATTGTTAACTATAAATAATTTTATTTTTTTAAAAAAAACTATTTCTAATAAATGAGGACTTAAATAATATATTTGACAAGTATAATAATAGTCCTACAAATATAGAAACTAAAAAAAAGGGAGGCCGGATGTTAAAAAAAAAAAACAAAACAAAAAAGCACTACTATTTTTTTGTAAAATATAATGATAATATATTATAATTATTAACTATAATAATAGTCTTATAAATACTTTAATAGTTGAGAAAGAGGATAAATTAGTCAACAAATTTTATTACCTCCAAGACAATGAAGGTTGTAGAGTTTATTCATTAAAGAATAGATAACGATGCATGAGTGAAGAAGTTAATATATACCATTGGATTTGAAAGAATGGACGGCACTAAAAAAAGAAAAAAAAAAAAGAAGAGGGAAACTGTTACAGTAAACGAAAATAGCCAAAAGGACAAAAAAAAAAAGTTTTCAAACCAAAAGGACTAATTAATTTATTCCCCAAAGAATTATTATTATTATTTTTTTCTATTTCTTAAAAGAAAAAATAAAAATCGTAAAATGGTGAAAGAAAAAATAAAAATAATAAAATGGTGAGAAGGATAAAAAAATTAGTTTTCAAATCAAAGAGACTAATTAATTTATTTCTCATAAAATGAGAGACTAAAATGAAAAAAAAAAAAAAACAACATGAATAGCAATTTTGAATGTGTAGCTACAGTTAATGAATAAGAGCAACCCCACTTCTTTTTGTTTTTTTAATAAAATAATTATGGTGAACAGTAATATATAAATAATCAACTTGAGGGCCACACACCACAGCAAAGGAGGAAAAATAAAAGAAAATAAGGTGCTCGCTTGAGCAGAATATGACTAATCAATCGCAGCATAATCTTGCAAGTATCTTCTGGACAAAACTCATGCACGATCCCAAATTCCCAATCCCTTTCAGCAAAACCTTGGAAGTCTTGGATAAACAAACGTGGAGGGCCTCACACCACAAACAGATAAGAAGGAGGGACCAAGCATTTTGTAACTTCCACATATGAGCTTAAAACACTGCTCAAATTTGATCTTGTAAAGATTCTCTACTGGTGTAAAACAGAACAGAAGGGAAAGATGAACACGTTCCATTAAAAGGAAACAGAGTACTTCAATAAAATTGTGGATATTATTGCGTACTAACATGTTAAACATGAGATCGAAAAGGACTAAATAAAATATTCCCAAGTACTTTTTTTTTAAGTGGAATTCCAAGTATTTTAAAATAATGCAAAAACTAGAGAAAATGGAGAGTTCTATTTAACAGTTGGCCCATCTTGTTTTGGAACTTTAGGAAAAGAAAAGGATAATTGCACTAGGAGTATACTAAGTTTTAACTTTTTCTTAATAAGTACAATTTTTTTTTTTTTCCATTTGAGTATACTAATTTTTTCAAAACTACCAATCAATTATTTTTTATAATTGATGATGTGTCAGTTACCATTAAAATACCGAATTTTTATTTTACTCTTTTTTTAAATCGAGTATATAAACTTTAATTTTTTTTTGTTGAAGTGCATTAACTTTTTAAAACTATTAACTTTTTAAAAATATGAATTAAATATTTTAATCAAATTTTTTATTAACGGATAAAGTGTTCAAATACGAAATTATAACTTTACTCTCGTTGTGTTGACGGAAACTTTCTTCTAAAACTATTTTAATTACCATTTCAAAATTTCACGAAAAATTAAAAAAAATATGTTTTTTTAGCTATAAAAACTCAAACTAAACTCAATTAGATTATTGTTTAAAAAAAAAAAACTCATTGTGGTTTAGAGTGAAAAATTAAAAAAAAACATAAATAAAGCTTCATCATGAAAATTTTCATATATGCGTTTTCTTCAACTTTCATGCTCCAAACCTAACTAAGTTTTTTTTTTTAATGAAAAATCTAACCGAGTTTGGTTCGGGATTTTAGAACTAAAATATAACTTTTTTTTTTAATTTTTTTATCAAATTTTAAAATAGTAGAATAATTTGGAAATAAAGTTTCTTACTTTAGAAGAAAAAAAATTATAATTTGGTATTCGGACACATCATCGATTAACCAAGAAATTAATGAAAATACTTGATTAACGCTTTTTTTTAAAAATAGACGTACTCAAAAAAAAAAAAAAGAGAGTAAAATTCAGATATTTCATTGAAAAAAGAGCAACATTTTAATTTGATATTTTTGAGGCAACGGACATGTCGGCAATTAACGTAAAAATTGATAAAAGTACTCGATTGGCTATTTTACCACTTCGAATTTGACAAAGAATAAATAAATATTATTTTTTAGCTATAAACTCCCAAACTAAACTCAATTAGATTAAAAAAAAAAAACTCAAGTTTTTTTTAGGAGTGAAAATTAAAGAAAAAAATAAATCTTCTTGATAAAAAAAAATCTCACATTTGTGTTTCGTTTCTTTTAACTCTCATGCTCAAAACCTAATTGAGTTTTTTTTTTTTTTTAACAGCAAGTCTAATTGAGTTTAATTCGAGATTTATAATTAAAAAATAATTTTTTAATTTTTTGTCAAATTTTAAAATAATAAAATAATTTAAAGAGAAAGTTTCTTACAACAAAAGAGAAAAAAAGTAATTTAATATTCAAATATGTTATCGATTAATGAAGGAATTGACGAAATACTTGATTGATAATTTTGAAAAAATTAATATACTTAAATAGAATAAATTAAAGTTTATATACTTCATTAAAAAAAAAAAGAGTCAAAATTATAATGACATTCTTAGAGTAACGGACACATCATCTATTAACGAAAAAATAAACAAAAATATTCGATAAGCACTTTTGAAAAAAATTAATGTATTAAGAAAAATCAAAATTCATATACTTGATCCAGAAAAAAACTAAAAATTTGGTTCACTTAAAATGCAATTATCCCGAAAAGAAAGGACAATTGCAAGATTATGCTGCAACTAGACAATTTGTGTATGGTATTCCTATTTAAGTCAAAGACTATGCACGTTAAACGGCATAGTTCAACAATGGCTACTCCAATTCTCAAGGGAGGATGTGAACTTCTTTTGATTGTCTCCCTTATTGCTTCTACTTTTGCAAATTCTGATACATATATCATCCACATGGACCAGTCAGCCATGCCCAAAGCATTTTCTGACCACCACAACTGGTATTTGGCCACTATTTCTTCTATATCAGATACTGCTGAATCAACCTTCAGCAAAACCTCTAAGCATATCTATACTTATACTAGTTCCGTCCATGGATTTAGTGCCAGTCTCACTAAATCTGAGCTCGACGCCCTCAAAAAATCCCCTGGCTACATTTATTCCACTCGAGATCGTCAACTAAAAGTTCACACTACTCATACTTCTGAGTTTCTCGGTCTAAGTTCCAGTTCCGGTGCATGGCCAGCTGCAAATTATGGTGAAGATATGATAATTGGATTAGTGGACACTGGAATTTGGCCAGAGAGTGAGAGCTTCGGCGATGAAGGAATGACAGAAGTTCCATCAAGATGGAAAGGGAAATGTGAGCCAGGTACCAAGTTCCCTTCTTCCTTGTGTAACAAGAAGCTCATCGGTGCTCGCTATTACAACAAAGGTCTACTTGCAAGTGATCCAAAGATAAAAATTTCAATGAACTCTACAAGAGATACAGATGGACATGGAACACATACTGCATCGACTGCTGCAGGGAACTATGTGAAAGGAGCATCTTATTTTGGTTATGCCAATGGGACTGCCAGAGGTATGGCGCCACGGGCCAGAATAGCCATGTACAAAGCAATTTGGGAATATGAGGTCAACGAATCAGATGTTCTTGCTGCAATAGACCAGGCAATTCAGGATGGCGTGGATATATTATCCTTGTCTTTGACTGTAGCCACTGAAGATGACTTATTTTTGGAAGATGATTCAATCGCTGTAGCTTCTTTTGCAGCAATGGAAAAGGGTGTATTTGTAGTAGCATCAGCTGGAAATACGGGGCCTAATTACTATACATTAGTCAATGGAGCACCATGGCTGCTAACTATTGGTGCGGGTACTATAGACCGTGAATTTGAGGGAGCTTTAACTTTGGGTGATGGCAATCACTTTTCTTTCACAACAGTATATCCCGGAAATTATTCTCTAAGCCAAAAGCCTCTTGTTTTCATGGATGGGTGTGAAAGTGTGGAGGAATTGAAGAGAGTCAGGGACAAGATTATTGTGTGCAAGGACAACCTAAGTTTCAGTGATCAAATTGAAAATGCCGCATCTGCAAGAGTTTCAGGAGCTGTTTTCATTAATAACTACACCTCCCTGTCGGAATACGACACTCGAAGTTCATTTCCAGCAGTATATATTGGTCTACAAGACGGTCAGATGGTAATAGACTACATAAGGAAGAGCAAGGATCCAAGAGGAACTGTGGAATTTCGAAAGACAGTTATTGGCACCAAGCCAGCACCAAGAGTAGATGGCTATAGTAGTAGAGGGCCATTTGCAAGCTGCCGCAATGTGCTAAAGCCAGACCTTCTGGCTCCTGGAACGTTGGTTCTTGCATCATGGTCTCCAATAAGTTCAGTGGCTGAGGTTCGGTCACGTTCCTTGTTTAGCAAATTCAACCTTTTATCTGGCACCTCTATGGCTAGTCCTCATGTTGCGGGCGTAGCTGCACTTATAAAGAAAGCGCATCCTGACTGGAGTCCTGCAGCCATCAGGTCTGCCCTTATGACCACAGCAGATTCACTAGACAATACTCTAACTCCCATTAAAGATGCTTCAAACGATGACTTGCCAGCCACCCCTATTGACATAGGATCTGGCCACATAAATCCCACCAAGTCACTTGATCCTGGGCTTATCTATGATGCAACAGCAGAGGACTACGTAAAGCTTCTTTGTGCGATGAACTATACAAAGAAACAAATCCAAATCATCACAGGATCCAGTCACAACTGTGAAAACAGGTCTTTGGATCTTAATTATCCATCTTTTATTGCTTACTTTGACAGCGATGTCTCGGAGTCGAAGAAAAAGGTTGTTCACAAATTTCAAAGGACTTTAACCAATGTTGGAGAGGGAATCTCCAGTTATACTGCAAAGCTGACTGGCATGGAGGGTATAAAGGTGACTGTGGAGCCACAGAAGTTAGCATTCAAGAAGAAACATGAGAAGCTAAGCTACACTCTTACTTTGGAGGGTCCCAAATCAATGAAAGAGGATCTGGTCCATGGCTCTTTGAGCTGGGTGCATGATGGAGGTAAATGTGTGGTTAGGAGTCCTATAGTGGCCACAAGCCTTACCCCATAATCTCCCCTAGGAGTGAAAAAATGGCCGGTCAACCATAATCACTGTAATTTAAGGTGCAATAATGGAACATTTGAGTGCATAGAGTTTTCCCTCTTCTCCTTTTTATTTTATTTTATTTTATTTTTTATTTTTATACTTGCTTTATTTCTTTTCTCTCCACTTTTGCTTCATTCTTTTTCTTGCGTTTAGCTTTTCCATCTTCACTTTTTTCTTTTTTTCTTTTCTTTTTTTCATCGAGCAAATCTACAGGCACTCTGCAAAACCAACATTTTCTGGAGAGGATTTTACATTTCATCCCCATTATCAACTATTATTGCTTTTTTTTTTTTTTTTTTCTCTCCTTTCTTTGTGTCGGATTGCGTAACTTTTGACAGGCTAATATTTCACCTCAACATTTGCCATGATGGACACTAACGGTTCACAAGTATAATTAAGTTGAACCTAAAATCTTAGTGCATCACCACATAATTAAGTACATTGCCAGCATTTCTTCCATAATGATTAGCCGTCGCTATACAACTGTTCTCTCACTTTGTTTGCTCTTGATCCTGTCGTGAACGATAACTTGCTACCAAACTTCTATATTTGTTTTGTTTTTCAGGGTGAGATGTATCTAAGCACCCTTTTTGGATCCACCTTTTGGATATCTGATTTGCCAAATTTAATTTTGGTGGATTTTGAAACTATATAATTTTTTGTTGGATGGCATATATATATATATATATATATATATATATGGGTGTATCTCCTATATGATAATTCTTATCTAATTGATGTATCTCATACTACAATATAGGATCTCATGTAAACTACTGTTAATATAAATGCACATATACCCACCTAAGAAACGTGTAGGCAGACTTTACATGGTATCAAAGTAATACACGATCCTCTCTCTCTCTTTTTTTTCCTCCTCCCATGCTTCTTAGCCCCTTTTTGTTATAATTTCATCACATAGCTTCTAGCTCTTCTTCCTCCTCATTCAATCCAACCTTCTTCAATGTCAACATTTCGAGCTTGTCTCTTAAAAACTTGACATGACAAACTATTTAACCTAGTCCTATCTCTTCAAACCCATCCTTGACATTTATGATCTCAAAGATCATATTACTATTAATCCTTCAGTTCCTCTTGCCATGGTTCCTACCGTAGACAAAAAATTTGAGGAGACAAATCCCGCTCACTCAACATGGATCAAAACCGATCGTATAATACTAAGCTAGATTAATACCACAATAAAAAAAGAGATTCTTCCTCTTCTCTATTGATCTAACGGAGCCGATGATGCTTGGACCGCACTTGAAAGTCACTTTCTTGATAAATCAACAACTTCATGAGTTACATCTAAGTTTGCCATGAATAAACTTATCAAAGGTAATCTTTCTATTGATGTTTATTACCAACACTTTAAAGAACTTGTCGATGCCTTTGCAGTAGTCCAACAACCACTTTCTAAATGCCAACAAGTTAACAAAATCCCGCAAGGATTGCCTATAACCTATGAATCTCTTATTATTGTTGCATCCAATCGAAACCAACTACAACTTTTGCTCAATTATGGACAATGCTTCTCAATCATAAAGCTTGCCTTGATAATGTCGATTGTCTCTCCGCTTTCTCTTCTTAGACCTAAACGGCATTACTCTCTTCTCGTACTCCTCAAGCTCTTCCTCCACAATTGCAATCTCGTTGAACAACAAATAATAGTTTCGTTTTCATAAATTTTAGCATGGGCATATTGGTCATAATAGGGGTTGTGGCGGTCGTGATCGTGGACATGCTTCTTTTTAGTATCACTTATCTCCCGGCTTTTATAATTCTGCCGCACATCAACTCGGTCACGGACGTGATATCATAGGAGCTACACCACTTTTCCTATCCTTAGATACTCCATCCTTTCACAGTAATTGCTTTCATTGTGGTACTTATGGTCAAACTATTGTAGAATGTCTAAATAAAACTTTCATGGAGTCATTTATCTACTTTGTAGGACTCTCTCTGATGAACCCTTCTACATGGATACCGGTGCAACCTCTCATATGAGCAATTCTAGTGGTAAGCTCTTATCTCTATCTCTATACATTGGTTCCGATTGTGTTGTAGTTGGTAATGGTTTATCTTACCTATAAAAGCTACTGGTAAACTTGAACTTCACACTTCTACTCATTCATTTTATCTTCTTAAAATTCTTTTAGTTCCTACACTATAAAAGAACCTTTTTTCTCGCTCGTCGGTTTACTCGTGATAATAATTGTTATTTTGAATTTCACTCTTGGAGTTTTTTGATAAAGGACAATCATATAGGGATACTCTCCTACGTTGCCCTAGTAATGATCCACCGTATCCCTTACTTCCTTCATCCGGTCTCACGCCATCTTCATAGGCTTTCTAGCGGAACAACTTCGTTTGATGTCCGGCAAGCACGTCTTAGTCATCCTAGTTCTACAATTATTCAATGTCTCTCATCTCATATTCCAAGTTGTATCCAACAAGAAGACATCCAAATTTTACTATCTCGTCATGTCTTATTTCCAAAGCATGTGATCTCCCATTTTTAGATATTAATTCCTTTACTTCAAATTTTTTGGACATAACTCATTATGATGTTTGGAGCTCTCCTATTTCTTTTGTCATTGGTTTCAAATATTGTGTTATTCATTGATGATTTCTCTCGTTTTGTTGGTTATATCCTATGCTATACAAATCGATTCCCTAAAATGTTTTACAACATTTAAATTGCAAGTTAAAAACCTATGTTCCACTAAAATTAAAATTTTTTGGTCTAATAATGGTGGTGAATTTATTGAAAATGCTTTTATCCAATTTTTAATTGATAATGGTATCCACTTTCAAACTTTATGCCCCTATACTCTTGAACAAAATAGAGTTGCAGAGCGCAAACATCGACATATTAGTGAAATGAGAAGCACTCTTTTAACTCATTCCTTTACTCCTCTTTCTTTATTGGTCGAGCCTTTTTAAACCTCTCGTTTATCTCATTAATCATCTTCCCACTAATGTTCTTGCTAAGGTTTCTCCATTTTAGGTCTTGTTTCAAAAGCCACCTAATCATTCATTTTTACAAGTCTTTGGTTGTTTATGTTTTCTTAATCTACATATATATACATATCACAAACTCGAGTCTTGGTTTACTTCATTTGTTTTCTTAGGATATAGCTCACAACAAAAAGCTTACTCGTTATATGTCTATAGCTATGGGTAAGGTTTACATCAATAAGCATATTCGATTTATTGAACACATACTTCTTTATCATCCCCCTTTGGCATCCTCACTAGAGCCTTATCGCTCCTCTCTCACATAATCACATCATCATAAATTAACTTCCTTCCCCGAACACAATTCCAACTCAAACTTTATTCCTTCTACTCGCCTTAGCTTTTCTTAGCTCACTAGCCAACCACACAACATGATACTCCCACTATAACTTTCCAACCATTGTCATTGCTGTAGTATGATGATACATCTTCATAGTAACTTAATTTCTCTCGCTTCATTACCACAACTAGCACCCACAAACACTCACCTTATGCATACCCGTAATAAGTTTGGTATTTCAAAATCAAAAGTACCTCTCTCCCTATCTCGCTATATAAATTCAGCAACCTAAAGAGCTCGACACAGTTGTTGTAGCATTAAAAGATCCCTATTGGAAATAGGCCATGGCGAGATGAGTTTAATGCCTCGGTCTCTAATCATACGTGGACTCTTGTACTTCGTACACCAAATATGAATATCATTGGTGCTAAATGGGTTTACAAGTTGAAATACAAAAAATATGGTAGCTTAGAATGGTATAAGGCCCGGTTAATGGCAAAAGGATATAATCAACAAGCTAGTGTTGATTATTCTGATATTTATAGTCCCGTTGTTCGGTTTTCTACCATTCACACAGCTTCACCCTCAGTAGTGGCTAATAATTGGTCCATTCATTAGCTTAATATGAAAAATGCTTTCTTACATGGTAACTTATTTAAAACACTTTATATGCATCAAGCAATTAAGTTTCCTTAATCATGATTTTCTTGATCATGTCTATCAACTTTGAAAAGCATTGTATGGTCTTAAGCAAGCTCCTTAGGCTCGGTTCTAAAAGTTCAGTCAATTTTTACTTTCGTTTGGTTTTAAAATTAGTATATCCGATAGTTTAATGTTTGATTATCGTACTACTAATGCTTATTTGGTTCTCCTTCTCTATGTTGATGATATCATAATAACGAGCTCCAACACTTTTCTTTTGTCCAAATTCATCTCAAATCTTAAACGAAATTCTCCATGATCGACTTGGGCCCTCTTCATTATTTTCTCAATATCGAAGTTCATTGGTCTACAAATAGTATTTTTCTCTCTCATTCGAAGTATGCCAAAGAGCTTTTAGCTCGTGCCAATATGTTGTAATGCAAGCTTGTATCAATACCAATCCATGATATAAAATTATCACTATCCGATAGTGATCTACCGTCTAACCCTATAGAGTTTTGAAGTCTTGCTAGCACACTTCAGCACCTTACTTAGAACCACTAGGACCTCTCATTTGCCATCAACAGTATCTACCATTTCATGTATAATCCAACGATAACACACATTCAGAGCTATAAAAAGGATTCTCCGATATGTTGTAGGCACCATGTCTTATGGGCCGACCATATCGCCTTGTTCCTTTTCCGACTTAATAGCTTTCCTCGACGTTAATCGGGGAGGTTGTCCTAACATTTGGTGCTCAACCATCGACACTATCATCTTCCGATCTATGTTTCTTGTTTCATGATTTTCTCACAAACAACACACTCGTTGCAAGGTCTAGTACGGAGATAAAACATAGGGCGTTTGCTATCGTTGTTGCTAAGATTAGCCGTTTGACTAATATCATTGGAGAGCTTGGCTTGAAATTGCCTAATCCACCATTCTCTTTTCTAATATTAGTACCATTTACCTCATAGCCAACCCTATTTATCATGCCCGCACCAAACATCTTGAGTTA